CGTCAGTGAACAACGGCTCTGTGTAGTTAATGCTGCTCAATGTGAAAGCACGCAGGTGATGGAGATTTACCGCTGATTACAGAACCGGCTTTTCTGACAAGATGCGCGTTAAATATCGCATGCGATTTATCGTGCAGCCCTAATCTAAACCCACTCAGCAGAATTCCTCAGATTTTCTTTAAAAATCAGTGTAAATTTCATCTTTAGACTCCCATCTGGGGCCGATTATGGGCAAAAATAATCTTATGTAATATATAAACATATATGTGCTAAAAAGTGCTCTAATTATGTAAGAATTAATGGTGTTTTCGCTTTCCACTCCTTACATTTCACCTCTACTGATTCTACAGTTCTTGGCACTACAAAACTCAGGCAGCACTATATCTCTTGCCAGTTACAGTGTATTTCAGCCAAAGAGGCCACAGCAACCAAATCTATGAAGAACACAGACGCTAGCTGTCAGCTAAACATGCAATGCAGTCCACTCGTTTCCAACATTCTGGGTTCAACACAAGTTAAGCTGTATCAACAGCATGTGCGGCATAATGTTGATTACCACAGTAAATAATTCAGACTTGTCCCTCAATAAATGTCACTTACAATGAAAGTACACCAGGCGATAAACTCTAAAACAGTGTTTTCAAAGTAACTGTAACTTAAACATTGTACATGTTGGCAAGAAACTAATGTGATAGAATTGCTTACTGGCCTTGTGTGCGTAAAACTATATCCAATCTTTCAACTTCAAAGTCATGACCATGTAACACCCAGTAAACCTTGGTAACTTTCACATGATACAGGCAAGGATACCAGAAAGGAGTGCTTACATGGAGCAAGCATCACTCAGGATGAGTTCAAATTGAGGTTTCATTTAAATAAGTCTGGACAGCTGTCCTGTTTATCAAAGTTTTATATGAAAATGGTCTAAATGCTAAAAATCAAAATGAATGAAAACAGGGCTGCACGATGAGACCAAAAATAAGCATCGATGCATCAGCTTTTAGATGTTTGTGTGGTTCTGGAGCTCTGCTTTAAGCTTCTAAATGACATTTAAAGACCTTAAATCCTCACTCTTTCTGTAACTACTGCTGAAAACATCTGTCTGTGACATCAGTGGTGTTGGGGTGGGGTTTAAAGGGGGTGAGAGATATACGTCAATACTGACACTGCCCAATACGGCATTATACTCTAATCACGCCACCAGCTCTCAGCGTGACACTACAATAACTTTCATGCTATTACTTCAATGCTTCTGTATCATTTTTCATAGAAAATCCAAAAAGGCCTTTTCATTCTGGCATAACTACATACAGTATATTGTCACAATTCTCAAATTAATATTGACAATAGCCTTTTCTCTTGTTTTATGGGAGGCATTTACAGGCTTTCAGCACTACTAAACTGCATGCTGCTACTCACATACTGCATGTATGGCTACAAACAACCAGCCAGGGATCAGAGCCAATACAGGCATTTACACTATCAATATCAGACTACTACTATGCATGCAAGATAATGAACGATCAAAACAGGAATAGATGTACATGCATAAGTTGTTCAACATCAACATTGCCCTTTATACTGTACATTCCCTAAATGAAAACCATGTTCTAAAAGCATTTGTTTATTAACAGAAAAAAAAAAAAAACATTTGGATTTTGCATACCACAAGCCAGATCACTATAAATCCACCTGCTGAACAGCTGGCAGATTCGATATCAAAAATGCTTGATCCCTGGGTAATACAATGCAGAAAAATCCTGTGTTTCAGGTCTTCTGCATTATTATTTTTATTAGATGACATCAACATTTACTATAAACAGAACAAATTTACCAAAATTTTAATATTACCCTTCAAATTCCAAATTGTACCTTCTTTTTTTACCTCAAAAAGTTTACTCCAACTAAAACTCCTCCTACGCATAAAAATCACAGAACGGTGGCCTTAGAAATGGCCCACGTTAAGCGATGTGGCAATAGAGTCAATCTCCAGCGCTGCTGATGTGGAGTATTTAATGAGGACAGTCAAGAGTTCCTCATGGTCATTTCTATATAGACCATAGTTCTCTCTCATTCAGATAACTCTAGTCTTCAGAGTGAGTCTTTGATGAAGGATGACAGAAGTCAGTTCAGCAGGCTTTCTGGCACTGGATGTATAGGATTATCAGACACTGCTGAGATTGAGAGAAGAATAGGGCTGAAGAAGTGCCATGGGACCCTGATAAATCCCAGAGCTAGAACAAGGAAACTCCATAACATCTAAAATCACATATACTGTGGGGGGAACTTCAAAACGCAAGACAAAGTAATCTCTTAAACGCTGGAAAATTTATTTCATTGTGAATAAAACAAAGTGAGAACATTTTTTTGAAAGTGAAAACACTATGAATGATGCCCATCTCTAATTTGCTAATTTTCTGACCCATGATCAAATTAAATCCCCACTCCCAGTGCCATTAAGCAGGAAACCATCTTGTTATTGAGCATTTTTGAGCATCATATTGAAGAGAGAGCTAAAAAGCATCCTCACAATGGTATACACACTATACCATCCAAATGTTTGGGGTCAGTCCACACACACACAGTGTGTATGTATATATATACACATACACATACACACACACACACACACACA